CTGACTACCTTCTGGATGTGCATAGATATTTGGGAGGGGCAAGTGTCACAATGCGCATACTTGCAATAGAGATTGGAAGCCAAATATGCATCATGACATTTCGACATGCATGTCATCATTTTTGTGTCGTTGTGGTTTGCATACAGGTATTGCTTTGCATTCCTAGAAATCCCCTGAGAATTTTTCCAAAGTTGAGATTCAAGAGTTATTTTCAAGCTGAGGAATGCTGCTATATTTTATTAAAGATGTCCTTCACTCAAGTGCCTTCTAAGAGCTGTTATAACCCGTGCTTCATAATCACAGTTGATGAAAACCGAGTGTGCTGTTCCAGTACCTTCTGGGATTAATAAAATACAAAGAATATAAAAAACCCTTACAGTACATAGGTACTTCTGCATTGGGATCTCAAGGAAAGATCCTGTTGATCTTTTTAATTTGTGCCACATTGGTATCCTGGAATCATTTTATGTTCCATCAATATCTCAAGAGTAGTGACACTTTTGAATTTTGGTGCTGGAGAAGATTAGAATATGTAGCTGAGAATAGCACACATAGCCAAGAAAACAAATACATTCATAAGTGAACAAATCAATCTGCAGTTCTTACTCAAGGTATAAAAATATCATATAATAGATGACCTAATTCTCTGAAGACATTTTTAATGCTAGGAAAGGTGATATAAAAGAGAATGAGGATAAGTAGCAGCAAGAAAAATGGACTCAGTTATTTATATTTAGTTATAGCTCAAGACAGTGAACATACACAATATTCCTTCATCCTATTTTTCCAAAAGGAAAAAGGGTTAATTTGAGAGAAAGAGTGATTGGCCCAAAGTTACTCAGCAAGTTTTCATGCCCAATGCAGGACTAGAACTCAGTCTCCTGATTTCTAGTCTGATGTCTTAACCACCAGACCAAATTGGCTCCTTTTATTATATCACCAACTATAGACAATAATGGGGACACTTTTGGAAGACCCAAAGAATGATATTGCGGGCAGTTTGTCCTGGAACTTTACGGTCGCTAAGATTAGGATCAATCAATATCCCAAGATCTTTTCCCCAAATGTCATTTTCAGTGGAACTGCCTGGTACAATTGATAATATTTAGTGGTGCGTCTTCAGAATTAGATTTTAAGTGTTTAGCTAGTGCTATTTTTCTTATAGCATCTGATTTGGGGGACAGAGGAGAGAAAAGAAGTCTACTTGAGGCTACCATTTCACTCCAGTTTACTTGGGGTTTTGAACACAAAGAATGTACTGAGTAGCTATAGATAGGATTGCAAAAACATCTTGGCCAGTTCTCTCAAGTTCACCTTCAGATACTTTGGATTTCAGCTTCCATAATCTTCCGGCTAGCATGGCCATTAACCTGACTCTCAAAGGCTTACACTTTGAGCCGTTAAGTAGTGGTGTAATGAAGCAGGAACACTGGAAAGTGCAGAAGCTAATAAATTGGATATTACGATACGTATTTCTGCTCTTTAGCTTCAGATTAAATCTATGTCAAAGTATGTCCTTCAATTTTCAGGGGTTTTCCCTAATCAAAAAGACTTTTGTTTAATTTTCCAGAGTGTTTCAGAACCTACTTTATTCTTGCAAGGAGATGGAAAATGCTGTTGCTTGTGCCTTTCCTAAGCTGGTAAAACTCAAAGGGAACAATTCCCACATGATTCCTTTGGAATTTAATTGATTTTGTGTCTGAAGGTGACCAGAGAGAGATGATTATATGATAAAAGAAAAGATATGAAATAAAGGGCATTCATACATAGTACTTGGTCACAACGTTAAGTTTCAGAAACCCTGCAAACATCTGTGAGAATTTCTCTGAAATATTATTTTCCTTTAAAATATTTTTTTGAAAACCCTTCCTTTCAAATCAAACTGCAGAAGAATGGCTGGGAGAAAAGGGACATTCTCCCTTTCCCCTCTAGTTTAGACATGCAATAGATTTGCACAATTTTTATTCATTAAATTTATTTGCTGCCCATCTCATCACAGCCAAGTCTGGGTGGCTTACAACATAAACAATTGACTATCCTTGGGATGCAAGTCTCCAACATTGTCACCTTTAGCTATTGCAGTACAGAATTTACCTCTAAGACGCTGGCCACTTTGTTTCAGAACAGGTAATAAAAAGGAAGATACCTTGACTCGTTGCAGAACTGAATTATTTCACAAACTCATCTAATTCATTCTGTGTAAAGGCATTCTGTAAGGTCACCCGCTTGTTTAATGTTTAACCTATGGGGAGAACTGAATTTTGAATGTATTGATTTTGTATTGACTAGGTCCCAGAGTCCAACGTCCAAGCAAGTATGCTTAAGTGCCTTTCTCCTATTGAAATTAGTAGACTTCACTATACTTGTTTTGTGTTTCAGTGGCATTAAGGGACTTTCAGGCACACTATAGTGATAAATTATTTTAAAGTTATATTCCTGTCTCCTCCCTCTTCCTAGTTTAGAAAGCAGCTGGTACATTCCTGAACCACCCAAATACCCAAAGAACATGAGAACAAGTTAAATCAAGGAGCAGGCGTCCCTTGGAAAGCCCTTGACTCTGCTTGTAAAGAAATCTGAATCTATTCTGAGGGAATTCTCTTACAAGTCCTATGTTTGGCACCCATTTCTTATCATCCATATTTTCCAGCCACTGGATCACCCTTGTAGAAATTTCAGAGCACAGCACCTGGCCTCTCTGAAGCCAGCTGACTTCCCCTCCTGCCCTGCTCAGTTTCCATCTTATTCACCCCGGATAATTGCAGCAGCCATGAGTCAGGTTGTATTAATGATCTATAGATCCCAGGTCACCCATTGCGCTTAAGACTTGGATTGCAACACTCCATTACTATTGGCTATACAAGGGCAGAGCTTCCATCCGTATAGCCATAAATCTGGCCTTGTTGGGCCATCACTCAGCCCCACTCTGCCTGTCCATCTTCACCTGCCTGTGGGTCTTTTGTATTTTACATTTCTAATTAAATAAAATTACACACACAGACACCCGAGACAGACACACATTGGGAAAGAAAGGGCGGAGGGATAATGAATTCCTCAATGATTTGCTGTTATATTTTAAAGGGTCCATAAAAGCCAAGGGTGATAAAAATTGATTTTGTCGTTATCTGCTCCAGTGCTGGAACAGGAAAAGCTGTTCCCTCCTTCCCAGGCATGCTGGTTTCCCCAGCTGGGATTTGGCTATGGTGAGGGGTTACAGCAAACTGGGACTTACTGGTGGGAATTAACAGGCATGGCTGAAGCAGTTTTTCTGGACTAGGCCAGAAACATTGCTAAGGGCTTCTCAAAATACCAGGGAGCAGAGATGGTAGAATGCACTGATACTGCATAGCTATGAACTGCACAGTTGAAAGAGCAAATAAATACTGAACAGAATGCTATGATTTACTAACAAGAATTTTATTTCTGCTGCTGCCGAGGATGATGGAGATGATTCTGGATGTATTAGATTCCCTGCAGGACATTCCCTGATTCTTTGCCTTCTTCTGCATGGGAAGCGACTTGCTGAGAAGTAGGATTTCCCTCACTTACTATTGAGGCCCATTGGCTGCCATTCTCAGCTCATCTATGCTTTCTGTGTTTGCCGCATGCAGAAACACACTGACTGAGGGCTCTGGAGGCAGGAGTGGGCTTCCTGAAGAAACACAGGCTTCCCCAGGGATTGATCTACCCTATCCTCTTGACCTAGCTTGGATTGTAGGACAAGGCACAGATTTCAAGTCCACATATCTAGAAATCAGAAGTGGTATTCAGCAGGTTCTGACCAGTTCTGGAGAACCGGTAGCGGAAATTTTGAGTAATTCAGTGAACTGGTAAATACCACCTCTGACTGGCCCCCATCTATTCTCTGCCTCCTGAGTCCCAGCTGATCAGGAGGGAATGGGGATTTTGCAGTAACCTTCCCCTGGAGTGGGGAGGGAATGGAGATTTTACAGTATCCTTCCCCTGCCACGCCCACCAAGCCATGCCCACAGAACCAATAGTAAAAAGTTTTGAATCCCACCACTGCTAGGAATGGTCATGGTTGAGAAACATTGAAGTGGGCAATCTGCCAGAATGAGTAATATGGACTAATTTTATTTGTTTGCTTAATTTACTTGCCGCCTATCTCTTCGTGGGGCAATTTTAGGTGGCTTAGAACAGTGTTTTTCAACCACTGTGCCGCGGCACACTAGTGTGCCGTGACATAGTGTAAGGTGTGCCGTGGGAAAAACACCCGCCTATAGTCAATATAGGCACAGAGTTAAATTTTTTTAACATTTTCTAATGGTGGTGTGCCTCGTGATTTTTTTCATGAAAAAGTGTGCCTTTGCACAAAAAAGGTTGAAAAACACTGGCTTAGAACAATAAAAAGAAAGAAATGAGTGTAAACAGAAGTAAAATAACAAGTGATAAAATAAACAATGAAATAGAATGCAACGAGAATACATCAATATGATAACCAAAGGGATGGATGGGTGGAGAGCAACGTGTGTTCAGGAGAAGTGAAGCCTGCCATCAATCCAGCAGCCATTTCCTGGGTGGAACTCCCCCATTTGGTCCCCAGGACAACCAGCAAAGCCAAATCTTTAGGCTCTTGCGGAAGGAGAGAAGGATGGGGGCAGATTAAAAGGTAAGATGTTCCAAAGGGCAGGTGATGCAGCAGAGAAGGCTCTTCTTCTGGATTCTGATAGTCGGAGTTCTTTTGAACAACTGGATCCGAAGTAGGCCATTTCTGCCAACATGAGTAGGACAAGCTTGTTCGTTAGGTTCGAATTCCAAGCAGCCTTCACTTGAACCAAAATCTGGCTACATGAGAAGGAAAAGGAATGCCAAAAAGAAAAAAATGCTCACCCCCTCCCCTTTCCTCCCTTCCAGTCCAGCTGGAGTCCAGCTTCCTTCAGCCCCACTTGCCATCAGCAATGTGCAGCAGGACCCTCAAACAGAAAAAAAACCCACATTTTCCAAATCATAATTTGCTCAAATAAAAAACAAAAACCAGTGAGTTGCAGAAAGACCGCATTTTATTAGAATAGCTGCAACATGTCATATAAATATAAATATAAATATATACATGTATATATACACCCTATACATAGACTTGGGGAAAGGTCAAGGCTGGGTAAAAGGGTGATTATTGCTCTGAGCGGCTATTATATTTAGTGGTGGGGAAAACCCTCAACTGTTTAGGGAAAGGAAAAAAAACAGATGAGGAGAACACAAAGCTACAAATGCAGGTATCAATGGAAAAGATTTCCAAAAAAATGTGAATGTATAGCTATCAAACCTGTGCTGTAAGTGTTTAGTTGTCTGATAGATGGCAGCAAAGATACAAAAAACCCTCTAACTCTTTGCTACCATCTAGTGGTCATTCTGACTCCCATCCTGGGTCTGATAGCTGTTCAGGCATGAAGAGGCATTTTGTAGCATTATATCTTCAAAAGGCACAAGTCCCTAGAGAGGTACTGTCTCTCTCCTTCTGTATTGACACAGCAGGACCTGGATCTTACATTCCTCTCTTGTGACTCAAATGAGAGGTCAAAAGGCAGAAGCAAGGAGAAACTGCAACCCACCCATCCCACCTCACAATTAGAAGGAAGCAAATGCAAAATTCAGCAAGCGTGGGAAAGGGGATATATACAAGGGCTATGATGTCAAAGGAGAGGTAACTAAAGCCAAAGGCGCAATCTCACAAAAAGGAGACACATGCATCAGTAGTCACAAGGCAGCAAGTTGAGAATGAAGCAATAGATTCAGCACAGCATTGGGAAAGAGCAACTTAAGAGGTGAAGACAAAAAAAAACAACAAAAAAACCCAAGTCTACTTAAGGAACTGTGGCTGGTTGAGAACCATCTTCACATTCGCCCCCTTGCACTTGTCTCTTCTCGTATGTCTTGGATCTCATTTACTCATGCAGCCCTATCATGATTGACAGCTTCTTCTACAAAGAACCAGATCAAATTACCCATGCCATGTCTCAGGTTCCAGTGCTCCTCCAAACTCTCTTTGCATCAATGTATTAGATGCATTATCCTAGAACCTTTTCCACTGTCACGCTGCGAGTTGCCATTATTATTATTATTATTTTGCATAGAGGGAGATATGTTCATGTCGGAACATGTGAACATAGGTTCCCTCACTTGCAGTTTTAAATGGTGAACTCCATCGCTAAAGCCTCAGATTACACCTCCATAATCAGGGGGTTTAGCTTCACGTGTTATCCAAGAGATGGAATCCTTGCTGGAAGAAAGATACTTATGGGTGGGCCTCTAGATGCCTACCAGTCAGAGCTAGCATTGCATACGGATGCATCCCCAGCACCTCACCTGAGGTTTGCACCAAAGGCTACGATCTGAAGGGGGAAAGAGCCTTGAATTATAAATCATGTGTCAGGGAGTAACTACACATACCCAACAGTTCAGAACTGCAGATACAATGCACACACAAGAAATAATCCCTATATTTCTAGACTTTTAAGGCAAAAGAATCTGAATAGGACTGGCAAGGTTGCTTTAACTCTCTAATCCATGAGGTTCTGCATACCATGCAGTTGGTGTTGGCACTCTTCATAACTTGATCTTTGGCTATTTGTAGAACATCCCTTCTCTTCACATCATTTAATTCCAGTTTCTGCCTTTTTCTGCTATTGACATTCTTTGCTACATTGGGTTTGCATTATTTATCATGAAATTTGTGCTAATATAAATCTCTTGTATATATTTGTGCTAATATAATGTATCATAGATATTTGTGCTAAATATAAATTAAGTAATTAAGCTAACATGGGACTCTATATCTTATAGTAATTTAATTTGGTTTTTCTTCTGAAACAGATACATTTGCTATCTTTTATTCTGGAAGCATAATTTATTTTAGTATGAGCTGACTTGCATAATGGGCCTAATTTATTCTGTGGTGAGAAAATGTAAATCTGGAGCCAAAGTACATTTATGCACAGCTATGATCAAAAGCATCGAGATAAGCATGCTTCAATGTTTTCTGCAGATGCATTGTCCCTAGCTCAAAAATATATGTATTTCTGCTTAATACTAATAGCACTAACACTGTGGCAAAATGCTATTCTTGTTGCTAATTCTTAAGAGTGAATTATCTGATCAATTACATGTTGCAAAGTTCTCATGCGATAGCCAATGCTATTTGCTCTGCTCTTTATTCATTTTGGTTCCTTTTGGAAGGAAAATGCATCAATTGCTGTTCTGGTGGGAGGTAAAGAAAGTTAACTTGATTAAGACCACTTCAATTAATTTCTAATTTAAAGATATCGCTTAGGTATATCCTTCCTCACCACTTTCCATTCCCTGAAAGAAATGGCAGTTACTGTACATTACTGTAATGTCTCTCCTTCTCCACTTTAAATAATATTGTTGAATATTTGAGAATGGGAATTACAACAGAATAAACTTGCCTTTCATCATTTATGTAAAGGTAACAGCCACATTTAGGAAAGTTATTGATCATGTTTAAGGGAGAAAAACAACCTTGCCTGTGAATTTGTATAATTTTGTTCCCTCGTGGTGATGAGACATGCAGAAAAAGATTTTATGGTATCTCTTCACTATTTTATTCTAATTTACATGTCTGCGAGTCTGGTTGCTTTAGCTTTTATTTTAAAAAGCCCACATACATTGCCATATAATATATAAATATAAGCAATAAAATCCTTTTGAGGTTTTGTTGGAAGAGTTACCAGTAGCTAAACCAATAGACAATCTGTTCATTTGCATTTCATTTGTTTTCTTTCTTTTTACATACTGATGAGTTAAACTATGGGTGGGCCAAGCTTTCTTCTGCTGTCCTGCATTTAACACTGAAAAGAGAGGGAAGTACCCTCTAAACATGGACATTTTTGCCCCCCCGACTCTTCCTCCCCCCCCAACACTTATTTTGTAGATATAAATTCACCCAACTATTTATAACCAAGGAATTTATATCCTTAATTTGAGAACTTCCCAAATACTGACTTTTGGTTAATTCCAGGGGTACAGAATTTGTGCCCAGGTATGGCTGGATTCCAGCTGAAATCAGCCACAAGTAATCTTATTAAGCCTGGAGGCCAGGGATCAGCAGTCCTTATAATAGGAAAACCAAATATGGTGCTGCATGGGTGACTGGAGCCTCAATACCTACACAACTTTTCAAGACTTTCCTTTCCCATTCATCTCAATTCAGCTGCTACGGATCAGGAAACTGAAACCTCTTCTTTTTCTGTCTCCATTTGCTTGTTATTGAGCAAACCCGGTGGTCCAGTGGTTAGAGGGCAGTATTGCAGGCAAACTCTGCCCACAGCCTGGAGTTTAATCCTGAGGGAGTTCAATCAGCCTTCCCTCCTTCCAAGGTCAATAAAATGAGGACCCAGGTGGTTGAGGACCATAGGCCAACATTGTAAACAGCCCAAGAGAGTGCTGTATAGCTGTAAAGCACTATTTTGTGTGCGTGCGTGCGTGTGTGTGCATGTGTAAATAAGCCTATGTGCTAAGCGCTATGATCATATCTCCCTTGCAATTGCTCCTGAACTTCTATAAAACCTACAGAGTCCTTTCAGGGCAAAGGTCAGATTATCATTACCTTCCATAGTGAGGAGATCTGATCGTCACTGGACAGTGTGAAAACAGCGGATTTCCTTGCATAGGGACCATAAAGCTTCTGGGCAGATGCGCAGGGAGGACCTACACATATTTGATAGGTTTTGTGGATACATGCATTTTCAAGAATTTTGCAGCACCGGTACATTGTCAGGCAAACAAGAAGGCAAAGTCATTGTGGATATCTGTAAAAGATCATACAAAATGCCTGGACAACTACCGCTCTGTGGCAATACACAGCCCACCCCACTACTGTTTAATATCACCTAGTCCCCATCCCTGAGGATACAACTCCTGATGCAAAGTGGCTCTGACTGTTCTACCTTGGAAAAGGTCCATGGAAGACAACAGTTTTTTTACAGCCGTCAATGAACCAACGACAGAATTGTGCTAGGATAATAAGAAACTCCCCATGGAAGCAAGAAGAGAGGGAAGGAACCAGCCTGAATCCTACTGAAATGACAGAGGGGGGGGGGAACAAGGGGGCATGATGGTGGTGGTGATGGAGACAAGAAGCTTATTCAAAAGTGAAGGGGTCGTGGGTGCTGAAAAAGAAGTGCCCGTCCACATGCGTGTCAACGGTTTCCTTGTCACTCTCGGGTGGGAAGCGCTCGTGGCAGATGGGACACTCCTTCCAAAAGCCTGGAGAGGGCAGGTCCAAGGGAGATGCGCCCATTCCGGATGGTTCTGACATCTGCCGCCCTGTCAGCCCGCTAAGCACGGAGGAAAAGCATGGGGAAGAGAGAGGGGGGGAGGGAGAGGGAGGGAGGGAGAGAGAGAGCATTTTTTAAAAAGCGTTCAAAAATTGAAATTTAATAAATTGATCTTCTGAAATGGTGCTGAATGTTCTCCCATAGGAATCACTGTGCAAAACCAGAGCAGAGAGAATAATTGCTCAGGCAGTCAAGGTCCAAAATGCCTAGAGTCACAGAATTAAGGTCAGCGAGAGTTGACCCCCAGTGTAGGCCAAGATACGTTCATCACAAATGAAGGCAGGGGAAAGGTTTCATCCTCCAGACACACAGGCCCCTTAAGCTAAACAGGAGCACTCTACAGGCCTCCCAAACCCTCTGCAAATCCTTTCACAAAAAAGGGGGGTACAGAGGGTTTGGGAGGCCTGCAGAGTGCTCTTGGGGACTGGGGAGGTCAAAAACCTTTTTAAAAAATTACCTTTTCAAAATCTTGATGTGTCTTATACTCCGTTGCATCTTATAGTTCAAAAAATATGGTACATACCAAAGAGTCAGCTTTTTATTCTGAAAAAATCTAGGAAACCTTGATCTCACATTTCCACAGCTAAGGCGGTGTATATTCTTTGTGTCATTATATATAGAGTTTGGCTGTTAGACAATCCGGACTGGCACTTTGGGTGGCTGGAAGATGAAACCCTAATTAAACTGGGTACATTTGCAAGCATTTCTTATTTTGCATAATCAGCATTTTCTTTCTCTCTTCTTTTCAAACCATGACCTATCTGGCTTTGCAATTTTTATGAAGTGGCTAGGGAGGACTGCAGATTACCGAATTACTGGAACCCTAATTTGGCCAGGTCCCTGGGTTCTGAGCTTTTGACAGGTACCATCTAGAAAATATTCAGATGTTGCTGATAACACTTTCCCCCCACCTCACCCATGAAGAAAGCGGAGATTCTTACAGAGATAATTGCAGTTTCTGTATTTTCATTTTATTCTTCAGCATATTCCCTAATCTGGCACTTGCCCAGAAGCTGGGTGCCAGGAGTGATTACAGCAGTGGTGGGATTCATTTTTTTACTACCGGTTCTGTGGGCGTGGGTTGGTGGGCAAGGCTTGGTGGGTGTGGCAGGGGAAGGATACTGTAAAATCCTCATTCACTCCCGATCAGCTGGGACTCAGGAGACAGAGAATAGATGGGAGCAGGGGCAGTCAGAGGTGGTATTTACCGGTTCTCTGAATTACTCAAAATTCCCATTACTGGTTCTCCAGAACTGGTTAGAACCTGCTGAATATCACTTCTAGATTACAGGTATAGTCCAATATATCTGAGAGAGGACAGGGTTGAAGAGAAAATGCAGTATAGATGGAATAACTTCCCCTTACCTGGCCACTTCACAGAAGCCATTACCCAGTTCTGGAAGGAGTAGATTGGTTTCTTCGCCCCCACTCTGAGCAGCTGCCATCAGAACTGCCTTCTCATCTTCAGCTTCCTACAATTAGAAAAGAGGCATGTTTTCAGTATGTTTGACTTTGGCTCATGCTCACGACAACTGGCCTGTTCTTCCTATGCTGGAGGGCACCACAACTCCTATGCCTCAAGTTATCTACAATATATGCCTGCATAGAGAATCCTCCTTTCAGGACATCTGATTTGAACAGAAAAGATCTAGGTTCAATCTCTCCAGCTAAAAGAATTATGGGAAGCAGATGAAAGAAAGAGTCCTTGCCTAAAATTCTGGAGAGTTGTAGCTAATCAAGCTAAACGCCATCGGAAGATGGGTACAGATCTAGGCCAATAGGCACTTCTCTTGGTGCTAATCACATTTCTTGCCTCTTCTGGATATTGTTTCTCTGAATTCACAAAATTGGAAGCTGGTATCAAGGAAAGTAAGCACATCAACCTTTAGTGCAGATGTCCATGCGTGTATAGAAGTAGCAATTATATACCGCTTCACAGTGCTTTACTGCCCGCTCTAAGCGGTTTACAGAGTCAGCAATATTACCCCCAACAATCTGGATCCTCATTTTAGCCACCTTGGAAGGATGGAAGGCTGAGTCAACCTTGAGCCTGGCCCTGGTAGGATTTGAACTGCCAAATTGCAGACAGCTGGCAGTCAGCAGAAGTAGCCTGCAGTACTGCACTCTAACCACTGCTCCACCGAGGTTCTCTCTCACACACACACATACACAAACATAGAAACCCATAATGCCCCTGGATCTGACATATAAAAATAATGAGTCCCTGTAGTCTGCCCGCCCCAAAAGATAATAAACTAAGCCAGTGTGATAGAAAGCATCTTTTAGGAGAGGTCAGTGGGTTGATGGGCAGCATTTTTAACACGTCGTCTTCCTAGTGATTTATGCTCCAACCATAAACATTTCGTGAAAGTGCCTCCTCTGAGGATTCCATGGCACTCAGGTACTCACAGTATGCTTTCAAAACCTCAAAACAGCTTCCCTATCCCTGGGCTAGATCATCTCTTCGCCTGGACCCCCAAAGCAACTCTTTCGCCCTTCGCCTTGGACATTATATCTGGGCGGGGTCCTTCCTTGCTTCTCAGGGGCTTACCGAGTCAGAACTGGAATCCTCGGGCAGCTGTTTGATCTGACTAGCAATAGGAGCAGGCTGGCTGATGACCACTGTGTGAGATAACCCATGGGCACAGGGAGGCGTGGTGGTCACTGCCCGGGTGTCACACAGACGGTAAGAAGTGAGCTGGGCGGGCAGGCGCATGTCCTCAGGGCATTCATCCTCAGAATCAGACAGGGAGTCCAGGGAGCCTGGAAGATGAAAATGAAGATGATGACATTAGGGGTGTGTGTGTGTGTGTGTGTGTGTGTGTAAAAACAAATCTCTCCCAGAAAGCAATGATGCTCCCAGTAGAGGCTGACCTTGCAGAAAATAAACATTGCTCAGTTTGCTCAAGTTAGCCTCTGAGTAGGGCTTGAACCTGAAACTGACTGTCTGTCCAGGATGTAAATCTGCCCTCCCATCCATTGGTGCCCAAGCACATGCTTGTTTTGCTAATCCAGAGTTGCTGGGTAGGGTTCTTCCAATTCCTGTCCTCAAAAAGGAACATAAAAGCAAGGTGCTCTGAAGAACAAGATGTCAACTCTGAAGCAAACCTGGCTGAAGCCATCTTTTGCTGCCTCATAGTTGCTACAAACTCTGAAGGGGGGAAGGGAGGGGGAAGTAGATAGAGTGGTTAACAGTCAAAACAAAAAGTTTTCTGGTGGGAACCAAGGTCATCCCAACAGGTGGAAGTTGAATAAGGAGAAAAGTGACCAAGCAGCCTGCCAGTTACTTTAATTGGACAATGTGACCGATGACATCTGGGGAAGGAAACATTTGTTCTTTTAAGAAGGCTAAAAACCATGGGAACTTTTAGAGTTGGTTTTTACTAGCTGTGCCGATATGATGTATCCAATAAACATGTTATTTGAGGAATCTACCTGTCTCAGAGTTTTGCTTTTGGCAGATGCGTTATTCGGAACACTGACACAAGAAGGATGGAGCCCTCTAAAAGTTGACAAATAAGGGCCTTTCACACTGTTGTTGCTGGGCCCTGCATATTGGCCTTTTTGTTTCATCGCCACTCTCCCCTTCCTCTACTTCTTCACATCTGAACCTGTCCTGATCCCAGGAATTTATCTGACATTTCCTGCTTTGGTTGCCTTCTCCCTCCTATCTTCTTGTCAACAGAACTGAATTGATTTCAGATAAGTAGATAGTGAACTAGCCTGCTGTAGTGGTTAGAATATTAGGCTAGAAACCGGGAAATCATGAGTTCTAGTCCTGCTGTAGACATGGAAGCTAGGTGTCCTTGGGCCAGTCTTCTTTCTCAGTCCTAGGAAGGAGATAAGGACAAACCATTTCTGGAAAACCTTGCCAAAAAACTTGCGGGGACTTGGCTGGGCAGTCCTCAGGAATCAATGCTGACTTGTGTTGTGGCCCGCCAGCAACCAGCAGAGCTGGCAGCAGATTCGAACAGTGAGATTGGGGAGGAACATGGGCCAGTTCTGGAGTCTGGGTAAGGCTCTGATAAGGGCTCTGTGTCGGAGGCAGAGAGGGGGCCAGAGCTGTATGCCAATTATCAGCTGCCTTCAGAGTCAAACATCAGTGAGGCAGATGAACAGCTGGAGCCTTTTGCAGTGTGCACATGCACAGAGTTACAAGATGAAGGGAACAGAGGTCGACTTGGGAATAAGACCACAGGTGGACGATGAATGGCCCCTCCCAGAGGAAATAAAAGGGGAGTGGAGTTTGCAGGAGATAATTAGTTTGCTTCATTGGTTCGTGACTCTCCAAGACTCCTTGCCAAGTTTGGCAGATATTGGCCGGCAGCTCTCCAAGCCAAATAAGGTCTGTGACTGTAAATTTTCCCTTGAAAGACTTTGCTGGATGTGAATGAGCAGAGTTCACAGTAAATCAATAAAAGGGGTTTTTGTCAGAAGCAGGAGTTTGCTTCATGCTCTTGGGAAGCCTCGGTCAGAACAACTTGAAGTTAAGAAACATAAGGAATAAGAAAAAAAGGACAGTAAATATTTCCTAATGTACTTGGCATGGATTTGGGAAAGGGAAGCAAAAGGCTCTCCTTTTGAACGTTCCTAGGAAAGGATGTTCCATCTACCCAGAAGAAATATCTGACAAAATCTAAAGTATGACTTTACAGCTTCATTATGGAGTACTCCATAGAGTTCCCATAGAGTGAGAAAAGAATGGAAGAATTACAAAGTGCACCAAGAGTGACAAATTTTCTCAGTTGTTGCCCTACCCACCAGGGTAGTAAACATTTAGTACTCAGATATTGCTGCACTGCAGCTCCCATCATTCCTCACAGTCAGCCACGGATTCATAGGAATTAAAATCCACCAATCCTATATTGCCCATTTCAGATTAAATATGGGAAGAAAAGATTTAGCTAAGCAAAATTCTGGAGAAGCAGCTTCAACCTCAAGGTAAACTCCATCAAGACCCCTGACCGCTCTGCTCTGAATAAGTTTAAAGATGCTTGAAAATTTAGATTCACAAGCCTAGTTTTAGAACTCAACAAAGTCTGTTGATGTCTATTTTCTTTTGCCTTTGTTACTGATGGCATGGACCCGGGTCACTAAATAAAATTGGCAGGGCTGCTAACTGAGGGTGGTGAACTAACCAGGAGTATCCAGAGCTCTCTCCTCTTCGTCAATCAGAACCGATTCACTCCATTTCTCATCTGCTACTTTGTCCAAACGTTCTTCAAGGCAGCGTATGTACACCAGCAACTCCTGAAGGCAGACAATGGGCAAACACGTCAGCATGAAGCTCTGAGCTGTAGTGCCTTCCTCCTCTCGCCACTTCGTTATCTTCTTCTCAGACTAAATTTGGGCTTTGGTCAGCTCTCCATTTGGATGCCACACCAACCTGTTTTTCGGACTGCAGTTGTTCTTTCTCCTTCTGGCTAACCTGCAGGGCAGCCCGCAGTTCCCGTAGCTCTCGGCGGCTCTCGGAGACTTGAACCTGGTGAGGGCAAAAGTGACATTTGCCAAAGCGGAATTTTAGAATAACATATAGAGAGAGTTATGAAGCCCACTAGGGAACTAAATACAGGTATTCCTCGACTTACAACAGTTCATTTAATGACCGTTCAAAGTTACAACAGCACTGAAAAAAATGGCTTAGGATTGTTTTTCATACTTATGCAGCATCCCCATGGTCATGTGATCAAAATTCAGATGTTTGGCAACTGGTTCATATTTTTAATGATGGTCGCAGTGTCCTGGGGTCACATGATCAGCCTTTGTGACCTTCTGAGAAGCAAAGTCAATGGGGAAGCCAGATTCACTTTACAGCCATGTTGCTAACTGAACAAATGCAGTGATCCACTTAACAACTGTGGGAAGAGAAGTCGTAAAATGGGGCAAAACCCACTTAACAAGTGTTTCACTTAACCACATAAATGTTGGGCTCAATTGTGGTCGTAACCCAAGGACTATCTGTAGTTAATGCTCATGCCCAATGCTGGGATTTTGAGACAGCTCCTTTCCTTTTTAGAAAGCTCTGTCCATTTTCTAGCACCCCTATTTTATTCATGGGGCAGAGCCTCCCCTTCGCCACTGACCAACTCCATTTGTGAGCCCTGTGTTTAAGCCTTTCCTAACTTGGTGGTCTCTTGATACAGTGAGACAATAATTCTTTGACCTCCTGGCCAGGATGGTCAAAACAGATCTAAAGGAGTTGCAGTCTAGAGAGCACCCAAGTTAAGAAGACTAAGAAGATAAAGGTAAAGGTAAAGGTTCCCCTTCCACATATGTGCTAGTCATTCCCGACTCTAGGGGGTGGTGCTCATCTCCATTTCAAAGCCGAAGAGCCAGCGCTGTCTGAAGACGTCTCCGTGGTCATGTGGCCAGCATGACTAAACGCTGAAAGAACACAGAACGCTGTTACCTTCCCACCAAAGGTGGTCCCTATTTTTCTACTTGCATTTTTACGTGCTTTCGAACTGCTAGGTTGGCAGAAGCTGGGACAAGTAATGGGAGCTCACTCTGTTATGCAGCACTAGGGATTCGAACCACCTTTCTGATTGACAAGCTCAAGGTCTTAGCCACTGAGCCACCACGTCCCCTTCCTAGATACATCTAACCAAATAATTGGATATCCAGGACTGTTGAAGGTCTGGACAAAAAAAAATTATGTGAGGACTAAGGATGGTCAGTGACAACAGGATAGTGACTGGCAAATTGGAATAAAAAAAAGAAGAGGAATTGAAATGAAAAGATAGGCTCTGTTAGCCTTCAGTCAATAATTTCAAAAGTCACAGAAAGAATCATGCATCCTGCAAGGGAGGAAGAGCACCAAGAGTTCTTTTCAAAACTTTCTCTGCTGGTGATCCTTGAAAGATAAAGAGGTCTTGCAACCCATCTAGACAGCAGGCAAGGGAGTTAAAGGTCCTCCTGGAATCTTGGCAATCTTAATCTGTAAACGGCTCCTATTTGTGAGAGGAAGTAGTCTCTGTTTTCCCTCCCTCCTTGAGTGATGGAATCCTTTTCCCAGTGGAGATAGTTTACCAGACTGGCATCCCGTTCCTGTACCAGCTCCATACGCAACCCCTGGCGCTGTGCCCTTTCTTCTTGCAAGTTGTTTTCAAGACGGAGAACCTCAGCACTCAGCTTCAGGATCTTATCTTTCTCGGCCTAGCAAAACATAAATTTGAAAGGAAGGGTCAGTGCAGGATGAGATTACTAACCCCTCCCCCCCCTCCATCTGCTCTATGGAAAGCTATTAAACTACTTGGCAAGGTCGGATTCTTCATGAAATATGCAGAGTTGGAGAACCCAAGGAAGTCTAGATGTTACTTAATGACAATAACGGCCCTCACTACAGTTTTAATCGCTTTTAATAAATTATGTAAACTTTGTAAATTTTGTTTTAATTGCGTATGCTGCCCAGAGTCACGTGAAAGTCAGATGGGCAACTATATAAATAGAAATTCAATAAATAAAGAAACAAATAAACCCACCAACTCCTCAGCAATGACCGTGTTGACAGAGCTAGCAAAAGTTTTAGTTCAGGGACATTTACAACTGTAAAGAGCAGTTAGGTTAGGAAGGATTTATCTGTAGATTTGTCCATAGACTTAGTTATCCCAGCAATTCTGCCCGTTTTAACAGAGTGTGGGAAATGCAAGAAAGGAAGAATGAATGAATGAATGAATGAATGAATGAATGAATGAATGAAGGGAGAGAGGGAGGGAAGAAGGAGTGAGGGAGAGGGGAAGGAATGAAGGAAGACCCCAAGGAGATCTCAACATAGTTAATAGTGACAGAATAGTTCTCCACAATATCCACGCTATTGATAAAAGGGATCCCACAGAGCAAACTAGATTGCTGAACATTTTGGTGTATGATCATACTGGAAAAAATTGGCACATGTACAAAATTCAAACATAAAATGAGATTCCTTTTAATAGTTAAGTGAAACCCTTCAAATTTGAAACTTCCAAAGCAAATCATCCCAACTGGAGTTGGGAACAGCTACTCTTCAATGAATGTTTCAAAACTGTTTTGACCTTACCAGAAGTGTTTGAAATTCGAACTAGCCCCACTTTAAGCTCAGAAGGCCAATTCTATAGGATTGCTTTAAGTTCAGAACACTTTCAGCCAAAACACCCACCTTCAAATTCAAATGTCCCAAATTCCTATCCAAATCCTTACACATAAAATCTGAAATGATGGAAGCCTTCACCCTTTAATGCATCCCTCTCAATAAGACTTAGATTTAGCTTATAGAAGATAATGTACTGCAGTATACTAGGAAAAGTTTATCCCTTGCTAGAAACATTCCCCAGAAAGGGAATCTGGGGAAGCATTGAAATGCTTTAAAATACTGTGGGGTACTTGGTGTTCTTTGAGCTTGCATGTTTTCTTGCAGTTTTCGTTACCAAACTAGGTGACATCATCAGCATGAGAGAGCACCAAGAACCCACAGTTCAACCCTGAGCTACAAACATTCTCTTTTATCCCTTTAAAATTCAGAATAATTTAGGTCCAAAGCCATATCATTCTTTTTCTTTTGAAACTCCCAAACATTCAATCTTGGCAGTTCAACTGCTTTGGGATTTTGTTCTTTCTGCATGCACAACTAATTAAAAAACTTCCCCAGAGATTAATTTCAATCCAAAATAAAAAGATCCATGTTTGCATCAATGGATGTCATGATCCTTTTGCTTCATTCCCTCTCTACTACAAAGAAAATAGGCAATGCTTATGTGGATTGGGGAAGGTAGTGTTATTTATAGTGCTGAAAATATTGGACTAGGTGTGAAGGGGATCTGGTGTCGAAATGCCACTTGATTATAGATAATTCTAGACCATTTGCTCCTTCTCAGTTAAATCTCAGCCCTGGATTGCTGAGAAGGTAAATGATATGAGGCTTCCCACATGCATGGTGCAGACTTCCCACAAGACAGAAGGAACATAAATGATGAAGACAAAAAAAAAAAAAAAAAACACCCCACAGGAGTTTGCTCAACTGATTTGGGGGATCACATGCACAAGTGTCCCACATACCTCTACATTCTGCAACAGCATGGCTTTCTCCTTCCACCATTGGCCTTTGCCTTCCTTCCACTTGAGGGTCATGTCAGCAAGCTTGATGTTCACCTCAGCTGCCTCAAGGCGGCTCTTGTGGAGATCAGAGATGGTGCGGTCTCGGATGGAGGCCACACTGGCTAGCTCTTCCCCTAAAAGAGCCACTTTCTGCTGGCTGGCAGCCAGAACGTCCTGTGTGGTGCGTAACTGTTCACACAAGGACTCCATCTGTGCCTAGAAAGAGAGAGGACTGAGAGGAAGAGGGCCAAGGGAAGGTGGAGAGGCCATGTCCAACCTTTATGGTACTAGGAGACCCCCAGGAAGAGAATAAATGGACTATAATAGCAGCCATTAGGATTCAACAAACTTTCTAATCCTGAAGTGGGAAATCTGTCCCAGCAAGTACAAGCATGGATTCTGGAGGATGGTGTGTCTTCCAATACTTGATGTTTTCAAGCTCTAACCTAATTCTTGTACAAAAAAAACCCTTTCCTGATTTTTGGAAAGAGAGATATTGATCTAGTTTCTTTGCCTGGGATAAAAATAAATCCCTGGGTTCTGATTCCCACCCATCCACTCCTCTGCCCTGCAAGTCCTGACAGAATAAGTGGTTTTTCCTAGTTCACAGCTGGCTGATTTTCATCAGTTCTTTCTTGTTCTCTAACAGGAAACCAGTTCTGTTGGCTGTGACTTTGTTCCAAGACTATTTACAAAACAAAGTCCGTGGGTTTAAAGGACTTCACCCATAATTAAATATCTTATTTCTATTAGAATTTTTAAAAACTAATTCATGAAGTGTCCAGTAGAACTGGTGCCATTTTGTACATGTATCTTCTTCCACAAAACATGTTAGGAGAAAAAGGGTTGGGCCTGAAGCAACATCACCCTAGATTTTTTTGCCTATGACATGTCCTGATCTGTGCTTTGCTTGTTCAACCTTGTTTTTTATCAATCTAAACCAGTGGTTCCCAATATGGGCCCCACACCCCACAGGGGGGCAATTTGATTTTTAATGGGGGCAATTTGAACCTTGTTTAAACCAAGTTAATGGCCTTTTAGGCATCCTCCCTGTGAGTAGAGTTCACTTTTTAAGTAAAGTAAGAATTATATGTCATGGGGGGCATCAGGTTTTTAGAGATGCTTAGGTGGGGCAAGGCCAAAAAAAGCTTGGGAACCACTGGTCTAAACTATCATCCTGAAATCCTGGATCGCTTCTTGTTGTAAACTACTACCTTTCTTTTGGTAATGGAAATAGCATAACCACTGGTTTAGGGATATCCACTGGATGGCCATTTAAGGCTCCATACTCAAGGAAATTAGACGGTTACTTGCATTTAGGATAGGCAAAAAGGGGTTCCTTGCATAAGGACAGAAATTACTAGGTGCTGGAGATAGGTTATCAAGACTAGGTGTCTTGAGAAGTTCTGGGAGAACACCAAAATCATCCCATTAGAGACACCATTAGAGACAGCGTGCTGGACTTGATAACCTTATTTTTAATATTCCTAGAGGCTTCCAGTCTTCGGGTACTGTCAGGGTTCCAACGGATGCCCTAATTAACTCATGAGCCTTGAGCCAAATTTCAAAAGAAATCCAATTATTTATTAGGTGTAACGTCAGCACTGTTCCCATTTGAGGTCAACTCTGCTGCACGTGATTTACAGTTCAACTGTGACTGTTTTCCCCCTCCTCCCAGAGTGTGATTGTGTCATTAATCACATTGTCCAATGAGGCACTTCCGTGGGCTGTAAAAACCATGCCTTTCAGAACGGCTCTGGTAATCTGAGATCCAAAGTTGAGGAAGGTATGCATGGAATGTGCTTCTGAACATGGCTGTTGAACTACTCCATCCATGATTGGTTTGCGAGTTGACAGTACTTACTGTGCGGCGGTTAGCAGCTGCCAGCTTCTGCTGCAACTTCTGAATATCTTCCTGCAGCATGAGAGCCTGGGAGATTTTCTCGCCGTGACGAGTCTTGGCTTCTTGCAAGTCAGAGGCCAGGCTACGGCTCTCCTCCTTGGAAGCCTGCAGCTTGACCTGGAGAGGAGAGAAGACTTGTTTCCAACATGCTAGCTGCTTGGCTAACGATGCCAGCTCTGGTTTCCTGCTCCTCTTTGTTTCCCTCTTTTCAAACCTGTTGCTCCATGCTCACCTGGTACTGCTCTTTCTCAGCATTCTCTTCTTTGAGCTGATGGTGGATGTGTTCCTGCTCCCTCAGAAGTGATTTCACTGTATCTTTCACCCTGTAGCAGAAATGATCCAAAAAGTATAGGAACATGTGAGGAATATTCACTGTACTCTTTCTACTTAGAGGATCTCTAAAATAGGTCTCTCTGTCTCTACCTCTACCTACCTACCTACCTACCGTACCTATTTAGAAGCCACCCTTTAGTTCCATCTTTGCATCATCCTCAATATAGCATGAGCATCCACTAGCCCAGCAGCCTAATTCCAAAATGATGCTTTAGCCACAGCCTATTCATTTCAAGGCATCACTAGGTTACTAAATAGATCAGCTTCTCTGTACGAAAACATTCCCCAACATAATCTAATTCAAACAAACAATGTAAAAATCAATGTTGATTCCTAAATTTCCTTCATTCCTATACTTCATCCATCTACATTTAATTCATAATCTGAATGATAATGGATATCCGCTGATAAAACCAAAGATATGGAAACTAGGACACAATATATTAAATCCTGGGACAATTCTTTGAGATTGAATTAGAATGGCACAGAGAACTGATTCCATGATGATTCTGATTCCCCCCAATTTGATACTCTCTGGCTGTGTTGCTCCTAGAAACTTTGAATATCTGAGTTAATATGAGTTCTTAGAACATCAACAGGACTAATTGCCTATTGGTAGCTCAGAGACATTGTCCCCCCCACTCCCATCTCTCTCTCTCTCTCTCTCTCTCTCCCTCCTTCTTTCCCTCCCATCACCTCTCTCCCTTTTGATTGTACTTGAGATGCTTTCTTTGACCTGTCTAATTCCGTCTCCCTCTGAAGCATCTTCTCTCCAATCCCCTGGATATCGCTCTCCAGTTCCTGGATTCGGGCCAAGTGCTCAGTTTCTTGAATGCTTAGAGTATCTCTCTGCTTGGAGATTTCCGTGTAAGAATTTGACAATTCCTGGTGGAGGGTAGAGAGGAAGAAATGTGAGTGATGTCTATAACATTTGAATAAAATAAAATAAAAACCAGTAGCTAGTTTTGCTGACAAAATTGAACACATCATCATATGAATAACCCTACTGGATGAAAGTAAGGCTCATTTTGATCCAGAATAGTTATTTCTCACAATGCTCAACCAGACGTAAAAGTATGAGATGGAGACATACACCTTTCCTACTAATGTTCTCCTGAACCTGATATATGGAAGCATGTTTTGCAGACATTTTACTAAGCACCGCATGCATGCGAACTAATCTGATGCAAGCATTAAGGCAGAGGGGCATCCCTCTGTACAGAAGGGAAACCCAGATCTTGCTTCAGGCTTGGAATCAGATGTTGCACAAAGTTTTGTGGCCACCTGAGTTTTTGCTTAGTAAGATGAGGGGAACACAACACCTTTCCTGAAGCTTGGGAAGAGGTGGGATCTGGAAGAGCTGGCAAGTCCTACTGCAGAACCTTGCTTTCTGCCTTGCCTTATATTGTGCAGCCAGCTTGCTGTGCTCATCACGTAAGGAGCTAAGTGCTGCTTCTAGATCTGCTGCGCGGCTTCTCAATTCTTGAACCTCTTCCTTCAGGCGGCAGGACTCGCGCAACAGGGCTCCTTGTTCCTGACGGCTCTCTTCCAGCTGAGTCTGTGGGGAAGTAGAGAGAGAGATACTGTACCGAAGTACAAAGTCAGAGGACACATTCATTCAGTGGGCTGAATTTTACCGTCTTTGGATTGCTCTCCTAGGATTAAAAGCTGATTAAAAATTAAATCATGGCATCATCTTTCCAGGCTGAAATATTTCGAGGCTATTTGTATGCTGCATTGCTTTTACAAAATAGCTTTGCATGAGGAAAGCTCAACGTGCCAGGGAAAAGCATTTATCTCAATCTTCAGATACTTAATTTTTTATACAGCGAAGCCAAAAAAAGGAATGTCTCAGTAGCATCTTAATGGTTCTGGCATAATTCCAGAAGGTTGAAAAACTCTGCTATCTTGGCTTGATGAAAGCAGAAGGTCAGCCATTTAATATTGAATGGATAGTCCAGGACATCTTAAAACTCTTGCTCCATCTCATTCATTTTGGCACTTTAGGAGGACAGACTGGGCACAGAGATGTTGTTGGACTACTTTTTTAGATTGCTAGCCAAGTTAGCTGAGGTGAATGGAAGTTGGAGCCCAAGCACATGAAGAAGACCAACGTCTGACACCAATACTGCGGAAAACATCAGATCATAGGTCAAGGCTTTAATTTGTGCCATGATATATCTCCAAATTTGAATGTTGAAAATGAAGATGCTGACTCAAAGGAAGCAACCAGTATATTTTCCACTAATAATCACCAGGGATAGGACCTTTCTCTCATTGCTGGTATTGCTTAACCCTTAATTATATCAGAAGATACTGTATATTTAATATGGAAATGATAACATTCCCTTTGTATTAGAGATGATATGGAACAGAATTAAAACCAGGAAACATTTGAGTTTGTTGCAATTTATTTCTAAGCCAGCCCTTCTCTAGAGGGCGCTAAGAATGTCTACAATAACCTCACAAAATAGGCTGGGTTGAAAAAATGTAAACAGGCCTAAAATCTAGAGCATTTCATAGCCGAGTGAAAGCCTGAATGTAGAATTTCCTGAGCTGAGTTGAATGCTATAGTTAGGCAGCAAGCAACTAGTCATGAAAAAATAATTATACTCAAGGAAAGAAATACACCTCAAGTGGCTTTAGGGTCAAGAATGTTGGCTTACAGGAAGAACTAAGGGTTGCTTAGAGCATCCTACCTCAAGTAGAGTGGCCTTGGGAACTACCAGCAGCATGTCAGTTCCTCCTCCTTCATCGCTGGCCTCCTCTAGAGTGACGAGTTCATCCATGGGACGGGGTTCGCTGAATTGGAAAGAACAACTTTGGCCACGCACCTCTCCATGGCGATCCACATAGCGAAAGTGATATTGCTGCGGTCCTGGCTTAGGTAAATAGCTGGCTGTGAAAGGACAAATATATTTACTGTATTACTTTTCTGACTTCTGAATATGGGGCTTTCTTTTATTGCTTGGCTTCTAATGAGTCACAGATAAAAGGAAAACCAGAGGTAGGAAATTAGGATCTCAGTTTCGATTAACATTCTCTTTTCTTAATTTCTGATGAAGTTAAATAACTTTTTGCTTTGCTTTTAGTACAAAATGGCATTTTATTTTGCTCCCAGTTTCACTGCATGGAATTGATTTGAGCACTTTGGGCCATTTTATTGTCTCCCATGAACTTCTCCCTAAGCTGTTTTGAGTAGCTGTTTTGAAAGGGCACGCCAGATAGATTGCTGAAATCAAGTTCAATAAGGTTGGTTGTTCTGTTTATCTACTTTATCTTGTGTCACCATTCTGCTTGGGCAGGAAACCATTCCTCAAGTGTTACTCAAAACATTTAGCCGTGTATGCTTTGATGAATCTGCTCTGAATCACTCGAAATATGCCTACCTTGGAACTGGACACTGCAATGGAGGGTTCCTTCAGAAGCTCCACCATCTGGCATTATGCCCCACACAAAGGTATAATAGTCACGTACCGAAGAAGCATCCACCTGAGGCAAGGAATGGGAAAGGTAGCATTAGAAGATGTAGTACTTGTGTAACTCTCCCTGAAGGTCCACCATTGCAAACCCAACAATTTTGGATGGAACCAAAATTCCTATCCTAGCTCCCTTTTGTTAATTTTAATCATCTAATGTTTTAATGTTTTATAATGTTGTTTTTATCATGTTGAAAGTTGCCTAGTTGCTTGATAGTGAGATGGGTAGCATATACATTTAATAAATAAATAGAATTCTTTATGAATTACTAACCGATAACTCAGCGTTGTCCGGGTATTTATTTATAGGGGGAAAATGTCCAGACCAATTTCTAATGTTAAATTTTCCCCCTTACCCTCATTTGGAGTACTGTGAAGCCGTTACCATGGCAACTCCACTGCACCGTACAGTAGAAGCCATTTTACAGCATTACAGTAGAAGCCATTTGAAGGCACAACAGGTTGTATCATTACAACTTACCCCCACAGTATTTGTTTCCAGAGAGTAAATCATCTGTGTACCAAGTGGTTATGCTGGAACACACACACACATACATAACCATTTATATATATATAGGATATATAGGATGTTTTGATTATGAGCAGAAGAACGCATATCTTCTTAATTGAAGATATATTCTCCTGGTAAATATGAAGGACCCAGCTAGATGGCACCACCAATCAACTTTGGTTGGTTTTGGAAAGCTACACATGTTTAGATTTGGTTTAGTATTTGGACGAGAGACGGTCAGGAAATCTTGTCTGTGGGTTTTTTCCTATTTTGAATGCTGTTGTTGAGAAAAAAATATATATGTCCATTTCCATACAAGAGGAGTTGGATTTGAATGAGGCTTCAGCTTTTTACTGTACAGTTCCTGGGTGCTGTCAGAACTGCAAATAGTAAAAATAATAGCTAACAAAATGTGTGGTGTTCATATACAGTTGATTATAATTTCTCCAAAACTCCTGAAATGTGACCTTACGCATTCAAACATAATCATCCCACTTGTCCCCATTTGCAGTACCTTAAAGATCCCGATCCAATCTCTGGTTGATGGCTTCATGCCAGGTGGCAGATTGTAGTGGCACTCCACCTTGGCGTGGGGTATGTAACTTGAGGCCACATTCAGGAAAACTACGCTGGGGTGGGACTGCACCTCTTCCATCTTAGTCACTTGGGCTGTAAAGTAAATGGAAGCAGTTGATCATGCAAGAAATATGATTTGGTGCTAAATCAGCCAGAGGGGCACTTAATGGGCAAACCATCTTGTTGTGCAGCTGAATTGTTTTACATTCTGCCCTTAGTTGAAGAAGGGATGTCTTTTGCAATGCATATTATTTAACTTACTTTATGATGTCATAGGGTAGCCCTGCTTTGATTAATTAAATAGTTCTGTTCTTTCTTTGAAGATGGGAGACCTACCTTTCTGCCCCAAAGACTTGCTCTACTGGCTTCCCTGCAAATGCGTCTAAGGACATGACCTGAAATATGAGCAAGGCTAGTTTTACGCAGCAAAACAGTGTTGACAAAGGCCACCACTCAAGCACTGCCACCTTCAGTAGCAGAATGGAGGAAAACCTTTCTTCCTGCTGAAAATCCTAGACAGCCACTGCTAACTGGAGCAGAAATATAGGAAAAAGGAATCTTGTCTTAGGACAGGAAATTATCATCTCCTCATCAGGGAAGAGAACAGGACATCTGTAGTTATAATCTATACCTGTGATGGCGAACCTATGGCACATATGCCACGGGTGGCACACGGAACCATTTGCTAGGGCACGCGAGACGTTGCCGTCAGTTGACTTCGGCCTTCTTTTGAGGCCATTTTTCGCCCTCCAGAGGCTTCCCTGAAGGCTCCGGAGGGCGAAAAACAGCCCTATGGCCAAACCAGAAGTCCATTTCTGAACTTCCGGTTTGCCCGTAGGGCTGGTTTTTCATGCTCCGGAGGCTTCAGGGAAGCTCCGGAGGGCCTCCAGGGGGGGCAGGGAGGCTATTTTCACCCTCCTCGGGCTCCTAGGAAGCCTCTGGAGCCTGGGGAGGGCAAAAAAAGCGTTAAAAAAGCAGGGGGGGAGCACTGGTCTTGCGCACAGAGGGGGAAAGCACGCACATGTGTGGCATGCATGCGCATGACCCCCCTTTCCCTCCTCCCACTTTTGGCACACAAGCCAAAAAAGGTTCACCAGCACTGATCTATACAGTATCTATAGGTTTTAAAAAATGTATCAGGAAAAAGCTGAAATTCATATTATTTCTGATTATTCGTGGAGAATTCTATTCTGCTGGGCATAGGTAAGGGTAGGTTGGGTATGTGTGAAAGTGCATGCTCTAAAAGTAAATATAGAAGAGTCTACTACATCTACCCACTTGTCATTCATCTTAATATTTTCCCTGGCATTATCCTCAACTTTGCAAGCATTTTTTTGCCCAGTATTGCTTACAGATGGGAGACACAAATCAAATTATGTAATTGCATGAAACTGCTTACTGCACACATGAATGTGTTTAATTCACATACTCTGGTCCTAAAGTATATGTTCTTTTTCTGAAACAACAAAGAGTGTTTAACAATTTTGGAGAGGGCTTTTTTTTTTTTACAGGAAAGGAAATAGGAATAAGCATTAGGAGTGGCAGCGTATGTACAATGGAACATGGATGGAAGCCAATAGGAAAAGGACTGAGCCAGGATGGCCTTCTTAATCTTTGCAGATTGTTTTTCCATCACCAGGATACCTCGGTTAATTATTGATTGTTGTAATGATTTATTTATACCACACCGTCAGTTTACATGGTATGTCTTTTCCCGTGTAAGATTGAAATTGTCTTGGCAACGTTTCAGCGAGGTCTCACTCGCCATCTTCAGGCTGGGTTTTGGGCTTAAAGTGTGGCCGGAGCTGCTCTCTTTCTATAAATATTGGTGTTTGTGTGTGTGTGTGTGTGTGTGTGTGTGTGTGTGTGTGTGTGTGTGT